CGGGGGAGGGGGGGGGGGGGGAAGTCTTTGCTTATATGCATCCAACACTGGCAATCACAGTTCCTGCCAAGGGATGGCTCTGCTGTGCTGGAGAGGGCCTGCACCCACCCTCTGCTGCTGGCACCCTTTAGCAGCCCTTTAATGATGGAGGAACATGCAGTAGGAAGAGGGGGATTGGGCCATTTTTCTCCCTCTGGCTTTCTGTCATGTATTTTCTTGCATCTCTCTCCCAGCTGCGTTGCCCTAAGCACAGCTGGAGCCAGGACTGGGCAGCGTAGCTCTGTTCTGCTTCGTGTGCCCAGCTCTGGCTTGCAGCGGCTCGGGGCGTCTGGACTGGCACCAAGAGCATCTGCAAGCAATTTGCTTTCGTAGAAGCCATATCAGATAGCTGCAGCCAGCTTGGCTGGTTCGTTGCGTGGAGTCGGCAGAAGGGCCCCGACACCTGGGCCGTCCCCAGCCACCAGCAGGAGCGCCGGGCGCTTTACTTCTATATGTGGCTCTTGGCGGCTGTGAGACAGCTTGGTTAGATCCGGTGTGTGGGCCACGGCACTCAGCTGCGCTCGCTGGGTGCGATGTTTTTCCAAAGCTGTACTGTCTCCCCTCCTTGTTTCAGTGGTCTCCTGGGCTCAGGTTCGCCCCCTCAGAGGCGTTTCAGGGTCTCTTGTCCAGTTTGTGCTTGGCCCTGCTGCGTTTGCCAGGACCGTAGCACGCAGGCGCTGCTGAGCTCCTAACGGAGAAGGATCCCACGCTGCTCCTGCGCTGAAATGGGGATGCAGGAGCTGGTGGAGCATTTCTGAACGTGCAATAGGATTTATAGGACTTTGGAGGAGAGCAAAGCTGCATGCTTTCCCCTGCCCTCAGCTCCTCTGTCCCATGCTGCAGCCATTACCCGGGGAGCTTTTTTTCCCCCCCAAAAGCAACTAAGGCAGATATTCATGGTGGGTCAAGCCTGCATTCGACTGAGGTGTGAGAAGTGACTGTGGGTCCTCTCCTGCCCCACTGCAATGCCAACCCCAACCCCCTGAACCCGCAGTAAGTGCCCAGGGAGGAAGGGGCCACCCCTGCTCACACAATGCGGTTTGCTATGAACACACTGAGAGTGTGTTGGCAGCTGTCCTTGCCTCTCAGCTGAGCGGTTGTCACTTAATTACAGGCAACCTGTAGCCCAGGGTCATTAAGCACCAAGAAGAAGAAACTACAGCTGGGACCACTCACTCAGCACAGGGCAAGCACAGGTTTGACTCCTGCCTCAGACAGCTCCCCGGCCCTGGAGGCAAGACCTCGGTGGGGATTGATTCCCTCCCTGTCTTCTGGTTTACAATGTGATCTCGCCTGTGTTTTCTGACTAGCCGAGGGAGCCGGGTGAGTCAGCACTTCACAAAGGCTGAGAGGGCAGCTGAGCAGCAGGGGAAGTGTGGAGAGAAAACTGATGGTGGGCTGCAGGTGAGGAAATTTGGGAAGGAAGGCAGTGAGGGCTGATGGAAAGTCGTGGGAGAGGGCACCGAGGAGAAGTGAAGAGTGCTTCCCCCCCCCCCCCTTTTCTGCCAGAGATCAGCAGCTGATACTGCTGCTTCCTACTAAATCCACCCAAAGAGCCTAGACGAAATCCCCATGACCAGCCTAAGAAATGCCCAAATCAAAGCAGTGGAGGTGAGGGAGCCTGCTGCGGGGAAGCCAGCAGGAGAGAGGGATGGATGGATGGAGCTCAGCACAGGGAGTTAATCGACTGTGAAAAGGACTGATCACAAGGGTGAGGGGCAGAGCCTGAAGGGCAAATCACACCTGCAGCAAAGATGAATGAGATGTTTTCCCAAGATGAATGAGGGAGGCTTCGCAAGGACACTGGCTGGAGGTCTGGGCAGGAGACCGTGGAGGAGATTAAAGGGTTAAACCAATGACCCAGGTTCTCATCTAACTTTCCAGCAAAGACTTAGGTTTGTCCACTCATTTGTATTTCTCTCCTGGCAGCATTTAGGTGCAACAAACCCGTGTGTGCATACACACACGCTGCCCTTCCCCTGAGGACTGCCTTGGAAAATAACCTCTTCCGTCTGAGGATCTGTGCCTGGCTTGCATCCAGGAGGCCTCGGAGCCTTATTAGCTCCAGGGACATGTGATTATCCACAGGTGTCAGAGGGGAAAAAAGAGACACAAAGAAGCAAAATGGCTTGGCCCAAGGTGTAAAGGAAGTCAGCGGTGGGGCTATGAGTAGCCCTGCTGTCTCCTTAAAGCAAGCCAAGCACTTGGCTGTGAAGCCTCCTGAAAGGTGGGAAAGCCAGAAACCAACTTCTGCTTCCTAAAAGTCTCACAGAAGGGAGGGGTGTGCAACAGCAGCAGGGATGTACTGGCCTTCGCTTTTGGGTGAAGACTAAAGACTGGCCCAAACCAGCAGAACTAGGAGATGCTGTGGGCCACACAACGTAAGGAAAAGGACGGACAGACACAGAAGTGGCTGGCAGATTCTTGCCCTGACTGGAACCTGCCCTGAACACTTGGGTTTCCTTTAATATAAGATTGGAGAGGGGCTAAGAGCTGGCCTTTGGGAAGAAAAGCCCTAGAGCTTTCCTTGTGCTGCAAATTTGCTCCCTCCTGGTTCCTGTGTTGGGTGCCCAGAGAAGCAGGGAGCCCCCTTAGGTGCTCTGCCCGGGGGATGGAAAACCTCACCCTGGTCACTCGCCCCGGCTGGCAATTAGCAGCCCCTGAAGCATGAGGGTGGACAGTCCCCGACACTGCTCTCCGCACTGGGCCGGCCCCAGCTGCTATTCTTGCTCAGATGTGTCTGTTCTTTTTTGGACTGGCTTTTGTCTTCATCCAACCAGCCACCCCGTCTCCCAGACAGGAGACGAAAATGAGCTCTCTCATCCTCTGCGGAGGAGAAGATCAGGGAGAGAGACAGAGGAAAAGTGAGGGAAATTAAGCAGAAATAGCTGCAGGGGTCATTTAAAAATATCCCCATGACTCCCTTAAAATATATATAGCAAGAATTCATAGCCTATGGCTGAGGGAGCTCCAGGCACCAAATGTATAAAGTGGTTTTTGATAAAGACCCATGGGATCATGCATGGGTTAGGGGGAAAGGAGGTTTGTGGGAGGGAGGAGGAAGAGATCCCATGCTGTGCCTGGGGTGGGAGGGTCCAGGGTTGCTCTCTGCGATCCTCCCATGCGCATGAGCCACCCTGATGCGAGGTCAAATCACATGTCGGTCTTTTAGGGTCTCTAAAACATGGCCCTTTAACTTCAATCTATCAGCTGGCCAAATCTAGGGCATCCACTGCCCTAGACAGGCAGGCAATGCAACAGCCCTTGGAGACCCCATGGGTTGCCAGTGTCCTTGCCAGCCTGGGTGCAGCAGCTTTGTGGCGTTTTCACCCAGCCCATAGCCATTTTCCTCCTGCAGGAGCAAGCTACGCTGGTCCCGCTGCCTGAGCGAGGACTGCCTGGTTTAGTCCCTTGGTCCCATGGAGGTGGCAGGGCCGAGACCAGCCCTTCCAGAAGGGAACCGGTCCCATTTCTTTGTCTCCAGGAATGGAAAGGCAAGAACATGCTGAATGCGCTGAAAATGCAGACGGAAGAGATGGAGCGGTGGCAACGTGTGGGATGGAAATGGTAATGAAACGCCTGTGCGCGGAGAGCCCAGCTGCAGGTGCGCTGCAGTGCTCGGCTGGTTTAAAGCCCCAGGATGCTCTCAGTGGCGCTACATCCCTTATGCCAGCTGGCCCAGCCCATTCGCTTTGAGATCCCAAAGTATTTCTCAGCTCCTGATGCTTTAGGAGTAAGAAGATCTCCTTGTTCTTGGGAGCATTTTGGGATTAAAGAAAGCTAAAAGCCCCCTCCGGAAAACAGCCCGTGTCGCCCCGCTCCCAGGCCTGCCCCAGAAGCTGCGTGATCAGCCAGAGCCCCTGAATTATTCACTGCTCCTCTGTGTCACGGAGGATCCTATTACGCTGTGGAGATGGGTCTCCTTGAGCAGCAAAGCTTTGCCCAGAGCTGGCAGCTGGAAACCCAAGAGCCCGAGGGAGTTAAACGCGCAGGTTCCTTCCTCAGGTCTGGCGATGCTCAGAAACGTGCCCAGGCTGCGATAGCAAAGTCAGCCGGGCTTTTAGATACCAGCGGTGACTTTGGGGCACTGACTGAAGGTTGGCGAGTGTCTCGTTACAGACCTGTGGGGTTTATTGATTGTCTCCTGCCTGAGTTCCCACCCCGTTCAAATTGTAACTGCTCTCCTCCGGATGACAAACGGAGCTGCCAGCCTCCCGGCTCCTCTGATTTGTTTTAATTGCCACCTTCCCCTCCCTCTAGCAACATAAAGACACGACAAGACCATGCTGGGAGTACCCAAGGTGGGACGTGCTGGGGCACGTTTTGCAAACTTGGGGCTTTTGTGGAGGGG